TAAATTGACCTCATCCAGTCATAATATTGAATCTTCAAAATTTACCTTGCGACTATCCGGAAACCCAGTGACTAACTCTCGTGGACTCACTGGTGTACGCATAGCATTGAACCGTAGGACAGCCGTCTATGTGCTGTTCGACTGAAGGGATATGTTAGAACTAGGAAGGGTAGTGAAACCGACCGATGCCTGTTCTATATCTCCACCTACGCACCCACTGACTGCAGTTCGGATGATGCAAAAAATGAATTCCATCACCAGTTACCAATTTTGCTACAGAAAACAAAACGTTGAGATGTAATCATAATGACAGGTGACATTAAGGCTCAAATAGGAAAGCTGAGCGAATTGTAAAGACACCTTCGGGGTATTTAGTAAATGCCATGCCAACGGGCCAACAACGATGATAGTCTGTTGCACTTTTGTTCAGACAATCATTTGTATCTCGGCAGCCCTAACTTTAGGCATAAGGAGAGGCATTGTCTCACATGGGGTCCGCCGACATCAAGCCACCGATGGACACAGATAAATTATATTACCCGTGGAGGAATGTCGCTGTTTATAGAGTGCGAAATTGGACTGCGATCACTCGCTATTACGGGCTAGTGTATGTCTGCGTCTCACTGGTCGCAGGAAACAAGTGACAGTGAAGCCTGTCTATGCTCGATTAGAAGACGAGGACCCCAGATATGTAGTTGACCAGGAGTTAGCTGAACATTTATCTGAGCGTGATAGTAATTCTTATACCAAGAAAACTTGTCATGGTATTAATTCTGCCGTAGAAACAGCGGTAAGGACAGTTAGTAACCTGCACCTGAAGGTTACCAAACGTCATTGGATTTCCGCTACGTCATCAAAACTGATTGACGTGAGAAAACTGATTCCAGCTGGCTGTGACCACGTTGAAGAGCGAAAACGACTCAAACGTAAGTTGATCAGGAGTCGTCGAGTTGGTCACGAGCAGTAGTGGGTGGCGAAAGCGGAAGAGAGATAGAGAAGGCATCAGCGTCCCAAAATACTTGGTAACTATTTGGGTTCATTAAGGATACTGGTAAGAAGGAATCGATAGTTATTGAAAACTTCGCCGAAAAGGATGGGACGCTGGTCGCCTCCTAAGGACAGGCGGCAGAACACTTGGAGGCATAGTTCATATGACCCTCGGCAACGTTTTAGTTGCCCAACATCCAGCTTGAAGCTGAATGGGAAGTGGATGTCGGTCCTCCAACTTTTTTTAAAGTCGAGAAGGCTGTATCGAACCTGAAGCGATGCAAATCGGGAAGACCTGACAGTTTGCTACTCGACGTTCTCAAGGATGGAGGTACGAAGTTGCAAATTAAAGTGACGGAAGTACTATGTAGTGTATGGCAACTTGAGCCGACCCACCTGTTTGCGAGGTCCTACGTTGATTTGTCAGTCAGCAGTGTATGGAAACCAGAGGGTGTATCGATCATATTTGCACCCTGAGACAAGTCCTGGAACACAGGCATACATACTGGCCAGTGACCAACACACTCCATATTTCTTGACCTGAAGGCGGCATGTGACTCAACAGTGAGGTGTTGTGGCAGTGTCTGATTCTGAAAGGAGTATCGAGCAAGTATGTAACGCAAATCAAAGCTCTCCACTTGAACTCACAGCCATGTCAGGGTTTATGAAGAGTTGTTATGTGAATTGACGACAGGGATGCCCATGGACACCGTTCCTATTTATCTTTCGTCATTGACGCACTAATAGACATAACCTCATATATGTCTGACTTCACGGGGATTGACCTATCCCTTAGAGATCATGTGATTGGCTTAAAGTATGCATACGATGTTGTCATACTAGGTGAAGACGCTGACGAAATTAAGGGTCTTGTGAACGTGTTGAGCAGAAATCTGAGTATGTTTGGCTGGCATGCGTTTCGGTGATACCTCTCAAATGTAAGCTGATGCTCTAGAACTGGTGTGCCGCAAGTACTCACAGTTTAATGATAAGTAGTGAGGTGGTGGAATACGTCGACCACTGCACTTACTTGGGGAGTTGTATCAGCTTGAGCGGGCTGGTTTCTGAGGGCTCCTCAGCTTGGATACAGAAGTGTCGTTCGGTATTTACCGACTTCCGTCATCTGTGGCGCCGGTGACATATCTGACTACCCATCAAAAGACGAGTATACCGCACTTCAGTCCGTTCTGCCCTCTTATTACTGCTTTGAGACATAGCTGTTGAAGGTAGAAGACATGAAACGAATACAGGCTTTGATCATCGGTGTCTTCGTAGCATTGCTCACGTTTGGTGGTATCACCGTGTGAGCAGTGTTGAAGTCAGGCGAAGGGTAGTAAGCAAAACAGGGAAGTCGATGGATAAGGTTGTGAACTTAAGTCGACTGAAATGGCTTAGACATATGCTGTACATACTGATCCATTGCCAACCTTGACATGCAATGTTGGGAGAGGTTGGAAGATTGCTCAGAGTGACCAGGCCGAGACTTAGAAGCAGTTCAAGAAGTATCTTACTACCAGTTCGAGTTGGATGGAGATATGTTGACTGCTTAGTTGAGGTTCCTGAGAGGAAAACAATCAGTGGTTAATGACCCTTGGTGACATGGGTGAAAATCATTGACAGTGGTGGAAATGTATTCACTCCTTGATGCCTAAAGCTCAAACATTCATACTAAGCTTTATCTTCAGATCGTTTATTCTCTCAAAAAACTTTGATATTACGCTTTTTCCATCCACCCGTTCTGTGTGTACTACTGTGTAGTGTGGGGATTTGAGCCGATGCATCTGTGTACAACATTCTTCGTTGATTTCGTCAGTCAGTCCTGTTGGGAAGCCATTTGAAGCACTAGCCATTCGGAAGTTTAATCTACCTGTAAGTGTTCGAAAACAATTTGTCATATTATTATTACTCATTGCGTTAACCGTTTCACATTTTGACCGTTTTGTGGTGATATATCTTCTCCACTGCGGCTCTCCTGGTAAATGCATGTACTTTTCTGATCTAATCACTAGCTCGACACAATAAAACTTTGAACTTCACTATTAATTTTCACTCCCCACGCTGTATACATTCACCATATCTGATCCCCAATCATTTGACACACTTTGCACTGAAACTGACAAATATGTTACACTATCATCCACATACATGAACGACCAAACAAAACTATAATTTCTTATCTATTCTTAAATTATTACTAATGTATTATTTGAACATAGGGTTCCTAGTGGAACATTCGGCTTCAACAACACGTCTCCATGTCACTCTCTTCTCTGAAATCTTTTGAACCTGGCTCCACATCTGCCCAGAAGCTTTAATTTCTTCCTCACACCATCTCCTCCATGTCACCCTGAGCTCAGACGCCCAACTCATCGTTCTCCATTTGGGATCCACTCGATGGTCTGGCCTGGCACGTGATGTCTTCGAATGGTGAAGATTATAAGGTTGATAATGATTTGAAGAAGCTTGAGTACTGACAGATGTACAAAAGTGGTTGACACTTCTCGGTTGCTCACACTGGTAGGCTGGTTCTTTCTGAGTTACCGGAAAAACAAATTGGATTAGTAATAGTAGAGGGTGGTCAAACAGGTGACCTTTTCTAACCCACCTCTCGTCACAGGAAAGGCAACATCAGCAAGGTTTCACTATTCATCCGTGGGAAACACGTTTGATTACACCTTATGTAGTAGGCGATAGAACGTTTACATTTTGTATACTGTCTTAATTTTTTCATTAGCGTTGTTTGCTTTTCATGTTTATTCCTGTTGACGTAAGTTTTTGGGAGGTTAAGACCTATGGGAAATACGTTTTGCACCTAGGTAGCTCGTAGTATCTTTGTGATACGGTTTGCCAAACCCACTTTTAAGTTAACAGCTAGCTATCCATTCACTCACCAGTGTATACAATGTTGTGTGAAATGTTCTAATTTTGCAAGGAAAATATGTGATTTTCCTCTTTTTTTCAAATGTGGTGTAATATAATGCATGTTTTTGTAGGTTTTTTTGATAAAGTTACTTCATGAAGTTACCGGTGGAGCAGTTATTTGAGCAGATGTTTTTTGAGAAGTATGCTGCTTGAGTGATGCTTTTTTAACGTAATTTTTGATTTCCAGCTTTATTTTTTTAGTTTCATTGGTCTTTTTGACATAGCTGATGAATTGGAATGTACCGAACGCCTTTATTTATCGAAGTGCTGCTTTGCAAATATCGATAACTTTCTGAAGGTGTTGCACAAATTGTTGGGTACCACTGAAATGATGAGCGAATATTTATACGAAAATAACAGAATAGAGAATTCGCCAGTTTAATTGGCTCACAAATAGTGACTAGGCATTCTACAATGAGAGTGCAATGGCTAAGAAGGGAAATTTAAAAATAAATCAAAACATGCTCCAAAAAACACTGTTAATGTCATTTGTTTTCCCAAGAATGTTTGTTGTACTTCAGGTGAAACGCCTCAGGTTGCCGACAACCAACTAATATCCACCAATGTGCACCTCAATGATGAGTCTTCTAGCTTGGTGACCACATTCCCAAAACGTCTATGGTACATGAAGTTGGTTTCCTTCTAGTAACTAATCAATGTGGCCCGAATAGCTCAATAGTAACGTCGCTAACTGGAACACTGAGCGACAGGGGTTCGAACTTTCCCGGAGATATCAGTTCTTTCGAGGTTGCAGATATGCCTTGTTGACGAGTGCTAAAAAGCATAAAGCCTAGGCTGAAAAGGGCTTCCTGAAGATTGCTTTCAACCCACTAACAGCTGTGAATATTTACAATTCACTCATTAATCATTTTAACACTGTATGGAAACAGTGTAATGACGCCTATGTATAACTAAATACAAAAATCCAGAAAATATCTATGATGTATGTCTTAAATATGTTTTCTTTCTCGGAAATTTAGATTTCATCTTTCCGTTGAAGAATCCTCCGGAAGTTCGAAACTGTTAACATCTATTCCATCTTGGTTGATTACTTGTCAAAAGTTCATACAAGTAGTATCTTGTGAGATAGTTTCTTCTGAAGTTATTCTTATGAAAACAATTTAGGAAATTTAAGTATAAGTGAAATTTATTCCAATTTACTCCAGTGCACAACCATATGGTGTATTTCTAAAACTGTAATTGCAATAACAAATAATACAATACATACAATTACTCCAAGCAGATTAAGTTGATGCTGTTCCTCCCATGTAATTTCAACTGCTCCAGTCGGCACTGGGCTTACATTTTTATGATGTACCTAAAAAAGGATACATACTTAGCTGAAGTCTATTCTTTTTAAGAAAAAATACATTATGCTTTAAGTGAAAACAGTTCGATGATTGTATTTCACTAAACCATTTAGGAATGTAAATGAATATGCTAACAGTGGATCAGTGCATGGTTATAACAGTTGTATTGGATTTAGTACTTGTTCACTATTGTCAAAGTTAGCAGCTAGAGTTGTGTTCAGCTGATAATACCGTTTATTCAACGCTAGGTTGAGCAGTGAGACAGCAAGGTTAGACACTCGGTTACAACTTAGGATTCTTGTTAAAAAGGATTTAAGTAGAGATGAGAGTAAACTGTTAAAGAAAGAAGATGGTGACACTCAATGGTAGCATACTTCTAAATCTCTTATACATGTATAAACACAGATGATTTGAAGGCATCTTTATCTGAACTATTAAATTTTTCTAGGAATATAACCACAAAGTGTGCAAACAATTAAAATGACAGGATAATCAAAAGGAAATATTATCGAAACCTAACACAAAAGTGCTCCAGACCGCATCACCCTACGTCTCATCAAGACAGAAAAATATATTTCGAAACACATGAGCGCACAAAGAAATATATTATTTTATGTAATTAAGATATTTGAACACTGGGAAATAACCCCTACAGACATTACCGTTATAGTGATCACTCAAGGCATCTTCAGTAATTGGTTCCTCACATCTCGTATGTTCATATCAGAAAGCATCTGTAAGTCAAATCAGTGGTTATTGACTTCAAGCAATTTTTTCATTTATAAACTATTTAACATCAAAATACCTATCAGAAAAACATGTACATATGGTCACCAGTTTGACAAAGTATTGAGTGAAGTGAAAAGCAACCTAAATTTAGAATGTTCACGATTAGTGTGAACGGATCGATTGGTTGAATGTGATCTTACGATTGTCTATTCACCGGATGGTGGAGCGAATGTCCTAGAACGGAGACTGTGAAGATGAGAACAGGACTCCACTAGAATTGAAAAAAAGGAGTTATGAATAAAAGCCGTAAGTAAATCTAACGGACTCAGATTAGCACCAAAGTAAATAAAATGAATGGGAAATCGGTAGAACAACATCGGAACTTGGTGTAGATTACCACAGCGAATGTTTAAAAAGCTCCATAGGATTACAAAAATAAATTTACCATTAGTAATGGTAGATTTGCCATTGTGTCTTTTCGAATAAACTAATCAGGTTTTCTGAATGCAGTGACCTTGAGAAGACGCCAAAGATTTGAATTTATTTCTTGTATTGTGCTTTCAATGATCTTATTTTGTTGTTTGGTGTCGACTGAATGCCTACGAGTTATATTACTGAAGAAATGTGGGTTCTTAAGATACAAGTTGTTTGAAATATACCTCAAATGATCGATAGAAACCCTTCTTTGACCATTAGAGTAAAACTCAAGTGCTCTGATAGTGCATAACTCTACTGAGTGTAACACAGTGAAACAGCATTTTTTATTGGATGACGCAGTTTATTCGCCACAGTCATATAAATTAGATCTAAAATTTTGAGATATCGTTTACATAGTTAGAATTTCTCCTATTGCTTTGTTTATAGAATAGTACAATTTTCCAAATATCGGGTATAAGTTATGAACAAGTCCCATTAAAGTGTTTTGACACTGATTCAGTTTGGAGGTTTGGACGAATTCTATTGGTTTCATCTTGGGATTCATCATGGGATGAAATCAGCTTGAGAACCACTGAGAACCCGGGGACTGCTGGACATCTGGTTTGTCCTAGTATTGGGTTCTCCAGAAGTACTCACCTTTGAACCTAGTAGGAGTGGAACCCAGGCCCTTCAGGTTCCGCTACCAGCACGTTACCACTGAGCCACTGGGCAGGAATTCAACTATCCACAGTTTCCTACTTCTGTCACTTCGCAATATGGCACAACCTTTATTCAGTGCCATCGTTGAGTACGTGTCCTCACGTACGACTTGGTTTAGCCCATCAGTCACAACTTCCCATTAGAATTTTTGCGATCTCATCTTGAAACAAGTCCCTAATGATATTGGTTCATATTAGTTTCACTTATCTATCCCTTCACCGACCTAACCTGGTTTTCAAAGGTCGCTCTACTCCATATTAAATGTATTTGCGTGATAGCATGCGTAGCTGCACTGTCGCTCTGGATTTCAATAGTGGTTAGAATCCAGTTGCTGCAAACAGCAAGTGACTCGTCTAAAGCCCTATCACAATGACTTAAGTATGGTAACTTCATATTTCCTTGCTAACTCTTAACAACTTAGTATTCTTTCTCTAATCATCCTCCGCATGTTATGTCTTTTTTTCTCACTTATCCTAAAGCCTTTCCAATTATTTTTCTGTTTCTCCGTTGTTGTGGAGTTTCGACAACTTAAACTGATGCATCTTTTTTTGTTTGGTTCATTATTACATCTGCCTGCACGTTATTTCACGTGACTCTTACACGCTTGCTCAGTGCTAGTAGTAGTCTTTGATAAAAATTTTCTCGTTGTTAAGTCAGTCGCATACATTTTTTAAACCTATAGATGCATAACAGCGAAAATGTCTCAGAATAAATTAAAAATTTATCTAGGATGAAGGGGTTGTCCACGTCTTTCACCTTTTCAATGGTTCTCTACATGATGTTGATAAAGGATAAAAGCCATCATAAAACTAATGAATTAAGCACAAACAAATTAGTTGAATCAGTTATTTGGTAAGCAAGATAGTAAAAAAACAAACTTGTCATAAACGATTTCATTGGTTTTAGATCTTTGTATTCTTTTATAAAGTTGGAATCATAATCCAACCAATCTTATTAAGAAGAAAGATAGAGCACAAAAGCTTCTATTGAGTAAATAAGGTAGCGTAGATAAAACGCTTGCATTTGAGTATTTCTTCACCTCAAACGTTGGCATGAATTGTGAAAAGCCAAACCAGCCTTACATATGTGTACCAGAATTTTATCAGTTATCAATTCAGTAGAGGTAATGAGACTTCACGAATCAGTTTTGTGGTTAGCACGCTCACCCACTTTATTCCTATTACCAAACTGGCTGTTATTTCCAATTCACGCTTGGAAACTAAGAAATACATCTCAGATACTATACAGTTCACTCTAAGTGTGTTTTGAAAGACTCTACATGCAGCAGTCGTTTTCGTCTAACAGGAATTTATCATTCACCTGCTTCAAATTGACAAGCGGATCAATGTTTGTGGCATATTATTATATATTATTATTTGTCCGTTGAGTTCCTAGTGGAACATACGGCTTCAGTAACATATCTCCATTTCACTCTCTTCTCTGAAATCTTTTGAACCTGGCTCCACATCTGCCCAGAAGCTTTAATTTCTTCCTCACACCATCTCCTTCATGTCACCCTGAGCTCAGACGCTCAACTCGTTGTTCCCCATTTGGGTTCCACTCGATGGTCTGGCCTGGCACGTGATGTCTTCGAATGGTTTTCTCAGTGTGTGTCCAACCCAATCCATCTCCACTTTCTTCTGCATATTTGTTGGGCGATGCCTTCCTGGTTGGCTCATTGCCAGACCACAGTGAATCCTCTGTTGCTTATTCTTTCTGGCCATCTCATCTGGTCTTCAGTATCGAGTGAGCATATGCGGCATTTGTTGATGAATGTCTGTAGCTTGCTGGAAGTGCTTTTCGTAACGCGCCGCCAAGTCTCCGAACCATCACATGGAAGCACTGACTTGACTGACGTTAGTGTTGAAAACCCGGATCACGTTCACGGTTTATGTTGAGTGCACTTCAGTGCAGTGCAGTAGATGCCCACACTGCTTTCAGATTAATAAAGGCCTATTTTGCTTTTCCGATCCTGGCTGTTTTGATGTCCTCATCTGTGCCATCTGTCGCTGAAACGATCCTGCCTTGCCTAGATAGGTGAAAGAGACTGCTGTTTTAGGTTTCTCGTCTACATGGTGATTGGTGTTTTTGTTGCTTAGGTATCTTCATCACCTCTGTCTTCTCTACATTCACTTGAAGTCCTGTTTTCATTGTCCTGCCTCTCCTGTCAACTTATTGGTTTCAGCCTGTAGATCTTCGAGTTTGTGCGACAAGACACTGGACATAAATCATCATCGGCGGCGAAATCCAAATCTTCTTCTGGGGTCTTTTCATCGGTCCAGTCAGAGTATGCCCATCTTCTCGCTCCTCACGGTTTGCTGCATGATCCAGTCCAGTCGAACACAATGAGGAGGATCATAGGTGATAGTAGGTGGCAGCCTTGTCTTACTCCTGCCTGACTTCACTTCAGAGGCTTCACTGAGCTTTCCATTGTGAATCACTTAGCATGTGATATCTTCATATAGCTGTTGAATGAGGTTGATGAAGGTTTCTGGTACTAAAACCGTAGTGTAGAAGCATTTTCCAAATTACTTGTCGGTCGAAGCTGTTGAAGGCCTTTTCAAAATCGATGAAGTTGAGGTAGGAAGTTGACTGGCATTCTATGCTCTGTTTTATGATGTCGTGTAGCGTAGCTGTGCAATTTGATCCGCACATGATTTGTTCTTCTTGAAGCCAGCCAGCCAGCCAGCCAGCCAGCCAGCCAGCCAGCCAGCCAGCCAGCCAGCCAGCCAGCCAGCCAGCCAGCCAGCCAGCCAGCCAGCCAGCCAGCCAGCCAGCCAGCCAGCCAGCCAGCCAGCCAGCCAGCCAGCCAGCCAGCCAGCCAGCCAGCCAGCCAGCCAGCCAGCCAGCCAGCCAGCCAGCCAGCCAGCCAGCCAGCCAGCCAGCCAGCCAGCCAGCCAGCCAGCCAGCCAGCCAGCCAGCCAGCCAGCCAGCCAGCCAGCCAGCCAGCCAGCCAGCCAGCCAGCCAACCAGTCAACCAGTCAACCAGCCAGACACACAACCTGTTCCGGTAGTAATCTCGAATACAGAGCATTTCTTAGTATCTCCAGGATGATGAGGCTTAATATTTTGCTTGCTCCTGGTGGACAGGAATAGAAGCTTGATTCCATACCAGTTCTCATTCTTGCAAACACTTAGGTCTCCCTTGTTCCGGAATTTGACAAGGTAGCCCTTCTTCCAATCTGCAGGTACCTTCCATTCCATTCCCATCTCCTTCCCTTCCCTCATTCCCTGCAAACCGTCTGCAATAGAGGTGTGGTGTCAGCATGTCCGTTGATGTCTCTGAGTATGTTTACAGCGCTTCTCGCCGAATTCCATATGGTCCTGCTGCCTTCACCGATTTCAGCAATTTTATGGCTTTCATCGCTTCACTTCTGCTTTTGTCAGAGGGTTTGTGTTCACTGGTAATTGTGTGTCTGAGCTGCTGGTGGTATTTGTGGACGAGTTGCAGGCTGTGGTGATGGTGATCGTGATGGTGGTGATGGTGGTGGTTGATTCGAGAGTTTTCTGAAGTGGCCATCTCATCGTTTCCTTTGTTTCTCCTCTTCGGCGGTAACTAGGTTTCCTCCACTCCATCTCTCACTCGTTTCATCTGAGTTGATCTCTTCCCTCACAGATAGAGTAGCCTGGTTATTTGACATAATGTTGTCAGGTCTCTGTCTCTGTCTCTGTCTCTCCTACCTGCAGCCTGTTCTGCTTCACTTGCCAGTGTCTCATAGAAGTGTCTTTTGTATTTGCGTGCACTCTTCTTCACTTCCTTGTCCAGTGTAGTGTTTTATAGGTTGTGTTCATTTTCTCTTTTCGTTGTTCATCCATGCACTGCACTGTGCTGTACTGCACTGTACTGTATCTTACTGTACTGATCTAGTTCATATTCTGCTTCACCATCTTCATCTACTCTATCAGCCTCCATGTATCTGTTCTATTCTCTTCTATTCCTTGTCTCCTTTCTTCTTCCATTCTAATACAGTTATGCCGGTTACCTTCCACATAGCTATCAAAGAATTCCAGTGTTCCTCCACGCAGATCCCTTCAGGGATATTACTCAATGTCTCAAATTCCTTCCACAAGACTGACTGACTGACTGGCTGACTGACTGACTGACGTGAAGATGTCCTTCGTAGTTTCATCCTTCAGTTCAGTTTCTATTCTGAGAGTTCAAATTGAACTTGAACTGTGGTCTGTCATCACCAACTTCTTCGAAGGATTTCAACCTGATTTTGAATGTAGGTTCCTTGCACTAGATAGTCGTGTGAGTGGTGTGAACCTTCCTTCATCTGCTCCCCTTCTTCATCTGGTCTCGTGTCCAATAGGTTGTGTCTCCATCTCCACTCTCCTCACATTCAGATGAAGTCGATCTGATTTTTGGTGTAGTGTATCCTGGTGTCTCATGAAATCTGTGTCAAATCCATGTCGCTGCCTTGTGAATATCCTTGTGTGTGTGTGTGTGCATTTGTACACACTGCCTCCAATCACCGAATCGTTGAATGTGTAGAAGTCTGCAAACAGCTCTCCATTCTCATTCCTCATTTCATCGAGTGCTTCTCGACACATGATCAGTTCTCCTGCTGTGTTGTCGGCTCCCGGTCTGGCATTCATGCCACTCCACTCCACTCCACTGCACCCCACCCCACTCCACCCCACTCCACTCCACTCCACTCCACTCCACCTCACCTCACCTATTAGACTGGATTTTGATGTCGCCAACTGGAGTGGGGTATTGTCCATTACTGATTGCAGTTGTCTATAGAATTCATCCTTCTTCTCTTCATCCACGTCATGTGTAGGTGCATAGCATAGCACAGCAATGTGGGATTGTGACTTCCCTTCTAATTGAGTTGAATCTTGCTGTCATGGTCTTGATCCTGCAGGAGGAGGAGAGAGAGAGAGAGAGCCATCGATGCTGTTGGGGATATCATGATAGCCACTGGAAGACTCAGTGTGCTGTGCTCATGGTTGTCGTCTGTGTGACAATCTCGGAGTAGATTAGATTATTGACTTCTCTCCAGTTGACAGTTGGGGGAGTCCACTTCCATTCCATCTGCAGACTGCTTACAGATTCCTATCCTAGCACTTCTATGCTATACCTTCTCATCTCCTTTGCAATCTGGACAACCTTGCTAGCCAGCTTCAAACATTGTTCGGACATTCCATGTCACCATCTTCACTTTTGTTTCCATCGAGAGGAGAGAGGACACATGGGCCGATTGGTTTCCCCAAGGGTTTCACCAACTGGAGTTATTTTGTCTCCCAGATTCCAGAGAGGAATAAGTCTCTTATTGTGTTTTATATTTTCTTTGTGCTTTGAATTTTGTTTAGTGATTGGATTGGTTTTCTGGTGTAGGTTTTCTAGTCGTATGCGCAACCTTCCCTCTTTGTGTGTGCTTAGGACCGGTTAGTAACTCGTGAACTAGTTAACCATGCATAATAAGCAGAAATTGTAATTTTTTGATTTCTTTTGAATAAAGTGTAATAAAAGTTGAGGAAGCAAACGTAGTTAGTGGACATTGGTTAGTGCACCTGTTTGAGAAGTTCGGACATGATTGCAATATTTAAACGAAAAGAATGCACGAAGATAATTCACTTTCATATCATCAACATTAAAGGGATCAAAATATTTATAAAGGTTTATTGAATTTTTTCAGTTTGAATTCAGCATCTGACATTTCATACAGGTGACTTTAGTGTTGAGCTGTCACTCAGTGGTTTGCGGAGATAACTATCGACCACTGAGTAACGGGTTCAAGTCCCGCTCCACCTACCGAGATTTGAGTAGCCAGGTAGTTGTGACTGATTACCTACTGCACATGTATGCACAAAATGGATGAGTTAGTTTCGCCTTCTTCGGTTTGGTTACTTTAGTGCATTGGGGAGTCGACTCTTCTTGGTCTACTGAAATCCGTTACTACCTTTTGCAGTTTATACATTATCTGGGGTATTCCGTTATCGTTGAAAATGTTACATTACTTTAGAACATCCACAATTCGTCATTTTTAAACACCTTATAGGCATAGGTTTTGGCATAAAATTTCTTGTAGATTACATTCATATTTTAAGGAATTACCTTTTATCCAGTTTACAGCTTACCTCATTATGTTTCGTCCTATTTTTGCTCATAGCTTCGCCGATTACAGTTGAAATTCTAGGTTGTCTCTCAATATTACACAAATTTTTAACTGTGCATCGTTCCCAAATTCTATACATGCCTTCACAGTATCTGCTGTCATTATGATTACAACGAGCGAATTTACTTTTATATCCTACTTCTGTCGTACGACTTTCACCGGCGTATATTTCTTCTTCAGTTTTATAATTCCATCTTTTACTCAGCATAATACAATCTGGATTACATGTAGACCATGGTGACCATGAGAATGGTACAATACTACCTCTGGGTTCTGTACAATGCTTGCCAACCCATCCATCAGGGCAATAGCATATAGTATCATGACAATCATCAGACTCTAACATATTATAATCCTCAATATTTATAAATATTGCTGGACCAGGTAAAAGCTTCGACACTGGTGGTTGAAATCCAGCGCATAAACTGGAAAGACAATAGGTTACATTATTCATACAGTTAGGAAATGATAATCGTTTATCTTCGCTATATGGATCTTTACATAAACATGTATATTGATAAGAATCAAAAGCTGGCTGACACACATTTGATTGTTCGACTAAACACGCTTCATTACCAGAGAGTTTAGCAACTGAATGAGGTATTTTACAGCCATCTTTAATTTCTTTACACTTTTCAAATTCTGAATAACCTGTTTCACATAAACAAGTTACACTGTTATCACTATTGACAATACATTGTATAGTATGCTTTTCATCACACTGTTCACATGGATTAGGTGTATAGCATTTCATAAATATTTCACGTTTTTCTGAATGATACACTTCTACTCCGTAGTCATCTTCGCAATTACACACTGAACGAGATACAGTTGCATATGTTGGTAAATCTATTCTACCGGATAGTTTAAAATCTTTCTCTTGTAACTGATTCAATTTGCATGGAACCTCTCGACCGCATATTGTATGTTCATCATTTCCGCATTCATTGCTATTAAGGCGTATGTGAATACTATTTGGAGTTATAAAATTCTCTAATTTATATAGCTTCATACTAATATTTTGTATTGCCTCTTTACTGATACCAATTCTACTACCATTGTTATTACTACTAGTATCACTGGTGTTAGTGTTTCTACGCCATGGCTGCTTAAAATTTTCAAGCAAACGAATGTTTGAGGGTATTAATAAAAAAATAATAATTCTTATAAATAACATTTTCCACCAAAATGTAGTATGATGTGGTTGATAACACGAATGAATGAGAAGTGCTGACATTCAGATAGTAATTTTAAATCATACCACGCATATTATCAGAAAATCAATCGAAGACTATCACAAAATTTTGTCACAGTCATATAAAATGCGTCTTAATCTAGTATACTTGAGAAAATGGCACAATAGTTTAATTGAACGTCAGATAATCTTATTGGATATAGTACGCAATGATACAGTATTAGTTACAGAATGACATATCAAGCGCACTTTATTACTTATGATCATAAAGAGTTGATCACTTAACTTTTTGATTAATTTTTACGGTTCTACCGCCTTTCTTTCTTGGTTTCTTTGGCAGTAGAACACTCCATACATCTGGAACTACTGTTCAACTATTCCTAATGCATGTGTTTGGCACTTATTAGAAAGGATAAAAGTGCAGCCTTACATTTATTAGTAGGAATTCGTTGACTACCTACTTACCTCCATATCACCCTTGACTGAGTATTCACTATTTAAAGGTTAAATTGTTAATATTTAACCTTGGTTATGTTTCTTACATAGGTGACTGTCTTATTTCATTGATTTTCCAGTTGTGTTCTTGTCTGGTTTTTGATCTTGGCATTTAGATGCTTTGGTTTCATGCAACAGGAACACGGATAGTCACTGGTCTATCTTAGTGAGTCTGTCGCATCAAACTCGTAAACTAAAGCACTGATTCGACTACCAGTAGAATTTATTGTTAACTTGGAAATGCGTATAGTAATATCCACTCATCATATACTCGCGTGATTGTTACAATATTATTGGTTCGATAGGAAACGTTTCAATAACTAATCGCCTTTTTCATCTAAATGCGTTAATCTTCAGAGTTGTTACTTTATTCCATTCTATTTTCTGGTTGTGTGGTATGTTCTTTATGAAAATAGCTGAATTTTCTTTCTCGACTACTCATATTTTAGAGATGTATCTTGTTATCCTCGGCAGAAGTGGGGGCCCATTCGTCACCTTAAAAACATAAACTATGAGTACGAAAAGAGGTGGTGATTCACCTAGCATTGCAGTGATAATTAATTGTGTCATATTTCCACCAAGTTTGTTTCAATTTTAACTTAATTTAGCTGATTCCCCTAACTTATTCTTTACTGTTTTGTGATTAGTCCTATTATTATTATTGTTTCATCTGCCTCCATCTCCGCTTTTACCCAATTCCAACAATCCCCTTTTTAATAATTTCTGTCATTACTTTACACTCTTTTTCTTATTTGTGACTTTAGTGTTGTCATAATCACACTCTCTTAACATTATTACCAGGTTCACTTTTCATTGTTTTCATTACAGTTAGTAGATTTCTGTCGCTGATGTAATCGACCACTATTGGCATATAGGCTCCTATTCGGATACCTAGCTATTATCAGTAATGTAAGTTTGAAAATAGTGTCAAATAGTGGTCAGCAGTAGAACCCAGGATATGTATTTCGTTCCACTTAGGACTCGTCAGTCAGAGTAGATACTGTGACTCAGGAGGTTGGTGGACAATTCTCCGACGTTAGAAGAGATAATTGTTGAGTTCCGGTCCCGGTGGGAATAACATTATCCACTGAATAGCAGGTATGTCCAGCTGAATAGTCATATGTAGAACGAAACGCTCATCATGGATTCCACTACTAGTCGCCATTCGTCATTATTTTCACTGGTTTTATTGATCAGTTTCATTAGATGGTTTGTTATTAGCAATAAAACTTCACACATTCCGCTTTTTTAAAGGTTAGGTCAAGAACTTTGTTTGCTTTCTTCTATTACTACGTAAAATGAGTTATATAACTGTGCAAAGACCGGACTATGAATAATTATTCCACTGAACTCCATCAAATTTTACTATTAATTCTGATATAAACCACTTTCAAATTACTTTCAAACCATGAAATACGTGTGTATGCGGATGATTTAGATCAGACAAGATGAAATGAATGTGACTTTATTTCGCAATGTTAGTTGTGCTTGTTTTGCAAGACAATGTGATGTGATAACTTGGCAGAATGTAATAGGATAGTATGATCAGGATACTTGACCTTGCAGAGATTGTTTGGTATCTGGGAGACTATATTATTTATTCTGATTATTATGTATATAAAATCTGAGGACTGTGTTAGGGTACCATCCCAGTAAATTTTTTTTTAAGTTTTAATCACAGCAAAATAGTATTATTTACTTCCATAGTAGATTAGTCTATTTGACATAGGATGCAGTCATGTATTGTTATTTACTGGATGACCTTTGGAACAGAATTTATTATTCATAATCATATCGAGGTAATCACACAACTTCCTGCTTTGGTTTTTAGAGTTCATTCCATTCCTACAGTTCCTGAAGAACCTCTCTTCGGGAATTTACAGTTGAAAGGTGATTCATCGACATAAATATTAAGAAATTATCTGGAGCACTCAATGAGAAAAATCTTTCCTGAGGTCAAACTCAGACTAGCTTTCTGCAATTACTGACTATTTTGATGATTCGTGCAGAAAAAGCTAGCTTATTTGACCATCTGTATGTGTATTTATCAATTCACCTGCTCCTTTGTAATGCGATACGTTGGATGTACTCAGCTTTCGCTTTCTAGACATACTTTTGAACGTTTACCAGACTAGTTTGAAAAAGCAGAGAAAAGAACATCATACGGGTCTGATTTTGAACCCTGATTTACTCTGATCACCTTATGAATGCAGAAAATTAGACCAATGTTGTTTACGTAGTTTGTGCTGACCTCGTGAAAAGTATGCGTCTGGAACTTCTTAATACCACGAAAGTTATGGTAATTCATACTTTGAAGTTTGACTTCTGCGTCCAAGAGAAGTTTGAGCAGTGACTTGATGTGCACTGGACATAACCTGTAGAACGACGTTACTCCTAAGATCTTTCCCCCCCCCCCCTGATTACTAGCATATTACGTCTTCTAACATATGACATTCCTCCACCCTTGCAATTTTCATTTTTCATGGTATTCATTTGTTCGGATAACCTTATTACGTTATTCAAGTTAACTGTATACTGCTTCTGTATTGAAAAGCTTTGTCCTCATTACTACTTCAGACATTACAAGACTCTTTTTTGCTGAAAAGTGAATGTTGAATTTATATGCAATTGAAGAGATCGAAGATGACATGGCAGGAAAGGCTGAGTGTCTTTTGTTTAAAGACTAAACAACTTCAATGTTTTCACTGATCTTCACTAACAAATCTCACCAATAAGAGTTTTTGGTTCTTCTTCAGCTGTGCATAACCTAAAATATACAAGAAACCGTGATGCAATAAATACTTCAGTTACTGCTTGATACTGATGATTTTCCATTGATTATTCTGGATAAAATTGGCCGATCTCTGTTAGCATATGACCTCATAGAATAAATGCCTTGATAATGCTTAAATTTGGATTGTGATGAAATTTGCAGATAGTAGTGGAATCCAAGGTGTATTTTTCTTTTTCCAAGCGATTGGTTACCTAGATGTACCTACACCCACATGAGTGATTATGTTCCCTCTTAGACTGATAGATGTATGCCTAAGTGATGATAAATATGAATTTCATCCATTCATCCATTTCTTCATGAACAAGAAATTCAGAACATTTCTGAACTGCGAACTACTTCCTTCCAATGAGTTTATGATCAAATTCATACGGTTTATTGTTAATATAAGAATCTCAGGTAGATTTTATTTTACTTCCTTTAGTAACTGTCATAATAGTTATTTCAGAATTTTTTAAAATAGAACTTGACTAATTTTTCCATTTGTAGATGTAGATCTGTTTTCCTTCTCATTTCATATATTCTGTTCCTTTTGAACTCAAATTCTTATTTCTTGAACAGATTGGTCGAGTAATTTTCCATGCAATGAACTGACCTCTTATTCAAAATAAATACAACTGCGAAACCATGTAACAACTCTCCGAACGGAAGTATTGGATTTACAGTGTTTATTAATGGTCAAGGAAATACCTAGGTGGTAGGAGGAAGTGAACCAGTTGACTTGAAATTTTCGGCCTGGCGCTCTACCTGCTGAACAGATCCTAACTGTGCTTCAATCACGGGGTGCTTTGTCAGGCCGTCATGTGAATGTATGATACATAACTGTTCGATCATTTTCATCATACTAGTTGCCTAGTTAGGACATTTCATGTCAATCTTAATGGAACTGGATTAGAAAGGGGAAGTGTCATGTTGATTTTGGATGCAACTATTTAAGATAGGTATGGTCTGGCAGAATGATAATATTCGACATTGGGTTTCGTAGCTCAGCCCAGATAGTTTCATGATAAAAGAAAAATATTTATTTACCGAAGAACTGTTTTTCTTATTTCAGACTATTACGGAAGTAAGTAGACAAATAGTGTGCTGAATTTACTGCTACAGACTAAATATAACCGAGCTTTATAGGGTTTATTCGTCGTTAAGATAGACACTATTACTTATAAGAAAGTCATTAGAACGGTATTTAATGACAATTACTTTTATTAACACTCCCCTCCAGTAATTATGTTTATAACTACGTTCCTACAGAATGTTCGATAAAGGCTAATGACCAGTATTTTTAGGGGATTGATCACTTCGTAACCAAATGGTGGGAAAATGGTTTCACCAATTACTGTATATTGTAATTACTACAACTTGCTTATGAACTGAAATTACTGTAGTGATAACTAGTGAACTATACTCTAGGCCAGTGGCTAGATTGAGGACTTTACTTACGATCTGTGTAATATGAACTTAGTGTGGTCGAAAGATAAATTCACTTAGCCCAAGTTCTAATATAGCCACTAAACAAAAGAACTGCTAGCCAACTGACTATATTATTTATATTATTATATTATCATTATTATATTATTTGCCCTTTGGGTTCCTAGTGGAACATACGACTTCAGTAGCACGTCTCCATTTCACTCTCTTCTCTGCAGTCTTTTAAAACCTTTGAATTCCACTCGACTGCCTGGCCTGATGCGTGATGTCCCCAAACCGTCTTCTCAGTGTATATATATAA